CCAGTATCTCTACAACTTAAGTTAATAGAATATCTGGGAATAAAATGCAAGGTTTTAGTTTTACTACAACTGCTTTTCATGCTTAAAACAATTGTTGATACATAGCATTCAGGTGACAACATCCACGTAACAAAGGTGAGTAAAGTTGAACCCTGGGAAAAAGTCATAATTGAATTACATGTAGTGACAACTAAAGACACACATAGGCTCAAAATAAAGTGATGGAGGAAAATCTACCAGGCAAATGGAAAGCAGAAAAAGCAGGGGTTACAATGCTAATTTCTGACAAAACCAACTTTAAACCAATAAAGATCAAAAAAGCCAAAGAAGGGCAGTACATAATGGTAAAGGGTTCAATTCAACAAAAGACCTAACTATCCTAAATATATATGCACCCAGTACAGGAAAACCCAGATTCATAAAACAAGTTCTTAGAGACCTACAAAGAGACTTAGACTCCCACACAATAATGGTGGGAGACTTTAACACCCCACTGTCAATATTAGACAGATCATTGAGACAGAAAATTAACAAAGATATTCAGGACTTGAACTCAGCTCTGGCTTAAGTGGACCTGATAGATATCTATAGAAACATAACAATAGAATATAAATTCTTCTCCACCCCAAAACAATAGAATATAAATCCTTCTTGGTGCCACATGGCAAATTACTGTAAAATCAATTACATAATTGGAAGTAAAACACTCCTCAGCAAATTCAAAAGAACTGAAATCATAACAGTCTGTTAGACCACAGTGCCATCAAATTAGAACCCAAGACTAAGAAACTCACTCAGGGCTGATGCCCTTTTTGGCCTCAGCTCACCCGCACCCGGGTGGAAAAAAAAAGGAGAAACTCACTCAGAACCACACAACTACATGGAAATTGAACAATCTGCATCTGAATGACTCCTAGGTAAATTATGAAATTAAGGCAGAAATCAAGAAGTTCTTTGAAATCAACAAGAACGAAGAGACAATGTACTAAAATTTCTGAGATGTAGCTAAAGCAATGTCAGGAGGGAAATTTACAGCACTAAAAGTCCACTTCGAAAAGCTGGAAAGATCTCAAATCAACATCTTAACAACACAACTAAAAGAACTAGAGAACCAAGAAGAAACAAACCCCAAATCTAGCAGAAGACAAGAAGTAACCAAGATCAGAACAGAACTGAAGGAGACAGAGACAGAAAGAAACCTTCAAACAAAAAATCAAAGAATTCGGGAGCTGGTTTTTTGAAAAAATTAATCAAATAGATAGATGCTAGCTAGACTAATAAGGAAAAAAAAGAAGAATAAAATAGACACAACAAGAAATGATAAAGGAACTATCACCACTGACCCCACAGAAATACAAACAACCATCAGAGAATACTATAAACACTTCTATGCAAAGAAACTAGAAAATCTAGAAGAAAATGATAGATTTTTGAACACATACACCATCCCAAGACTGAGCCAGGAAGAAGTTGAATCCCTGAATAGACCAATGACAAGTTCTGAAATTGAGGCAGTAATAAATAGCCTACCAACAACAAAAACCCCAGATGAGACAGATTTACAGCTGAATTCTACCAGAGATACAAGGAGGAGCTGGTACCATTTCTTCTGAAATGATTGCAAACAACTGAAAAGGAGGAACTCCTCCCGAATTTATTTTATGAGGCCAGCATCATCCTGATACCAAAACCTGGCAGAGACACAACAACAAAAGGAAAACTTCAGGCAATATCCATGACTGGTAAACTGAATCCAGCAGCACATCAAAAAGCTTATCCACCACGATCAAGTTGGCTTCATCCCTGGGATGCAAGGCTGGGTCAACATATGTAAATCAATAAACATAATTCATCACATAAACAGAACTAAAGATAAAAACCACATGACCATGTCATTAGATGCAAAAAAGACCTTTGATAAAATTCAACGTTCCTTCATGTTAAAAAGTCTCAATAAACTAGGTATTGATGGAACATACCTAAAAATAATGAGAGCCATTTATGACAAACCCATAGCCAATATCATACTGAATGGACAAAAGCTGGAAGTATTCCTCTTGAAAACTGGCACAAGACAAGGTTGCCCTCTCCTACCACTCCTATTCAACATAGTATTGGAAGTTCTGGCCAAAGCAATCAGGCAAGACAAAGAAATAAAGGGTATTCAAATAGGAAGAAAGAAAGTTCAACTGTCTCTGCAGGTGACATGATTTTATATCAGAAAACCCCATTGTCTCAGCTCAAAAGTTGTCTGGGCTTTTTTCTTTTTTTTTTTTTTTCGAGACAGAGTCTTACTCTGTCACCCAGGCTGGAGTGTAATGGCATGATCTTGGCTCACTGCAACCTCTGCCTCCCGGGTGCAAGTGATTCTCATTCCTCAGCCTCACAAGTAGCTAGGACTACAGGCGCGTGCCACCATGCCCAGCTAATTTTTGTATTTTTAGTAGAGATGGGGTTTTGCCATGTTGGCCATGCTGGTCTTGAACCCCTGACCTGAGGTGATCCACCTGCTTTAGCCCCCCAAAGTGATGGAATTACAGGTGTGAGCCACTGCACCTGGCCGCAAGCTTTTTTTTTTTCCCCCCCGAAACCAGTTATTCCTAAGGCCACAAGCTTTTTAAACTGATAGGCAACTTCAGCAAAGTCTCAGGATACAAAATGAATGTGCAAAAATCACAAGTATTCCTATACACCAACAATAGATAAGCAGAGAGCCAAATCATGAATGAACTCCCATTTACTACAAAGAGAATAAAATATCTAGGAATACAGCTAACAAGGGAAGCACAGGACCTTTCTGAGGGAAGTTACAAACCACTGCTCAGGGAAATCAGAGGGATACAAACAAATGAAAAAAACATTACATGCTCAAGGATAAGAAGAATCAATACCATGAAAATGGCCATACTGTCCAAAGTAATTCGTAGATTCAATTCTAGTCCCATTAAACTACCATTGATGTTCTTCACAGAATTAGAAAAAACTATCTTAAAATTCACATGGAACCAAAAAAGAGCCAGTATAGCCAAGACAATCCTAAGCAAAAAGAGCAAAGCTGGAAGCATCATGCTACCAGATGTCAATCTACACTACAAAGGTACAGTAACCAAAACAGCATGGTACTGGTACAAAAACAGACACATCGATCAATGGAACAGAAAGAGAACTCAGAAATAAGACTGTACATCTACAACCACCTGATCTTTGACAAACCTGACAAAAATAAGCAATGGAAAAAGGATTCCCTATTTAATAAATAGTGCTGGGAGAACAGGCTAGCCATTTGCAGAAAATTGAAACTGGACCCCTTCCTTACACCTTATACAAAAATTAACTCAAGACAGATTGAAGACTTAAATGTAAAATCCAAAACTGTAAAAACTCTGGAAGAAAGCCTTGGGAATACCATTCAAGACAGAGGCCTGGGCAAAGATTTCATGATGAAAATGGCAAAAGCAAAAATTGACAAATGGGATCTAAACTAAAGAAATTCTGCACAGCAAAAGAACCTATCATCAAAGTGAACAGACAACCCACAGAATGGGAGAAACGTTTTTGCAATCTATCCACCTGACAAAGGTCTAATATCCAGACTCTACAAGGAACTTCAACAAATGTACAAGAACATTAAAAAGGGGACAAAGGATATGAACGGACTTTTTTAAAAGAAGACATTCAAGTGGCCAACAAACTTATGAAAAAAGCTCAATGTCACTAATTATTAGAGAAATGCAAATCAAAACTACAGTGAGATACCATCTCATGCCAGTCAGAATAGTGATTATTAAAAAGTCAAGGAACAACAGATGCTGGTGAGGCTGTGGAGAAAGTGATTCCTCAAAGACCCAGAACCAGAGATACCAGTTGACCCAGCAATCCCATTACTGGGTACATACCAAAGGAATATAAATCATTCTATTATAAAGATACATGTCCACATATGTTTTTTTGCAGCACTATTCACAATAGCAAAGACATGGAATCAACCTAAATGCCTATCATTTAAAGAAAATGTGATTAAAGAAAATGTGGTTCATATATACCATGAAATACGATGCAGCCATAAAAAGGAATGAGACCATGTCCTTTGAGAGACATGGATGGAGCTGGAAGCCGTTATTCTCTGCAAACTAATGCAGGAACAGAAAACCAAACACCACATGTTCTCACTTATAAGTGGGAGCTGAACAATGAGAACACCTGAACACAAGTGAGGGGAATAACACACACTGGGGCCTGTCAGGGGTGGGGGTGGCAGGAGGGAGGGCATCAAGAAAAATAGCTAATGTATGCTGAGCTTGAAACCTGGTGATGGGTTGACAGGTGCAGCAAACCACCATAACACATCTTTACCCATATAACAAACTGTACATCCTGTACATGTATCCCGGAACTTAAAACATTTAAAAAAATGCGTACCCCCTGAAATTCCAATTTTATATTCATTTCATTTGTTGAAGTTCCTTGTAGATTCTGGATATTAGACCTTTGTCAGGTGGATAGATTGCAAAAACTTTCTCCCATTCTGTGGGTTGTCTGCTCACTCTGATGATAGTTTCTTTTACTGTGCAGAAGCTCTTTAGTTTAATTAGAACCCATTTGTCAATTTTTGCTTTTGTTGCAATTGCTTTTGACAGCTTTATCATGAAATCTTTGCCCAGGCCTATGTCCTGAATGGTATTCCCAAGATTTTCTTCTAGGGTTTTCATAGTTTTGGGTTTTACATTTAAGTTTTCAATCCATCTTGAGTTAATTTTTGTATGAAATATAATTGTGAATCTTGAATACTTTGGCAATCGATGGCTCCCTCTTTTCTGTTGCATTTCCAGTGTGAGCCACAAGGTCCACAAGGTAGAGATGTCTTTCATTAGAGCAGTCATCCTTAATGCCAACACCCTCCATCAGCTTCTAACCCGGGAAGTTCAATATTCTCTTTTTGGATTAGGGAGTCAGCTTTTTGAAAATTCACGATGGCATTCTTTCTTTTTTTTTTTTTTCCATGTCAGATGGGTAATATGCTGATGTTGTAACAAGGTTGCAAAGAGGCACATCTCACCCATGCATGTGAGTACCCAACCATCATGCTTATGAACTAGAAAAGGATCTCACTTCCTTAGATCGAATACATTAAATAACATAACAAATGCTAAAACGGTGTTAATCCCTTTGATAAACTATGTGTGAGGATGCTTGGCAGGGAGCTGCATTTTAAAAAGACATTTGAAATTGAGACTATTTTTGTATGTCTAAATGAGGGGAAGGAGGTAAAGAACAGAGCTTATGGTCCCACTCACTGTTGGGTCACTATTCCCAGCTGAAAGTCTAATAATTGACACACTTCTGATTTCTGCATGTTTAACTGCTTAGGTCCTCTACTAGGAGAAACATTTTATCCTCTGATTAGAGTTTGTGAATTACCATTCTGCGGATCCAGTGCAGTTCACCGACCTATTAGCTTACTTCATAGATTAAAATTTGAGAAATTTTGAATTCAACAGCCCTTTATGCTAAAAACCCTCAATAAACTAGGTACTGATGGAACATATCTCAAAATAATAAAAGCTATTTATGACAAACCAACAGCCAATATCATACTGAATGGGCAAAAACTGGAAGCATTCCCTTTGAAATCTGGCACTAGACAAGGATGCCCTCTCACCACTCCTACTCAATATAGTATTGGAAGTTCTAGCCAGAGCAATCAGGCAAGAAAAAGAAATAAAGGGTATTCAAATAGGAAAGGTGGAAGCCAAATTGTCTCTATTTGCAGATTACATGATTGTATATTTAGAAGACCCCATCATCTCAGCCCAAAATCTCCTGAAACTGATAAGCAACTTCAGTAAAGTCTCAGGATACAAAATCAATGTGCAAAAATCACAAGCATTCCTATACACCAATAACAGACTTAAAGAGAGCCAAATCAAGAATGAACTGCCATTCACAATTGCTACAAAGAGAATAAAATACCTAGGAATACAACTCACAAGGAATGTTAGGGACCTCTTCAAGGAAAACTACAAACCACTGCTCAACGAAATAAGAGAGGACACAAACAGATGGAGAAACGTTCCATGTTCATGGTTAGGAAGAGTCAATATCGGGAAAATGGCCATACTGCCCAAAGTAATTTACAGATTCAACGCCATCCCCATCAAGCTACCTTCTTCACAGAACTGGAAAAAAACACCTTAAACTTCATATGGAACCAAAAGAGAGCCTGCATAGCCAAGTCAATTCTAAGCAAAAAGAACAAAGCTGGAGGCAACACACTACCAGACTTCAAACTATACTACAAGGCTACAGTAATCAAAGCAGCATGCTACTCTTACCAAAACAGAGATATAGACCAATGGAACAGAACAGAGGCCTCGGAGGCATCTGATCTTTGACAAACCTCACAAAAACAAGCAATGGGGAAAGGATTCCCTGTTTAATAAATGGTGTTGGGAAAACTGGCTAGCCATGTGCAGAAAGCAGAAAATGAACCCCTTCCTGACACCTTACACTAAAATTAACTCCAGATGGATTAAAGACTGAAACATAAGACCTAACACCATAAAAACCCTAGAAGAAAATCTAGGCAAAACCATTCAGGACATAGGCATAGGCAAGGACTTCATGACCAAAACACAAAAAGCATTGGCAACAAAAGCCAAAATAGACAAGTGGGACCTAATCAAACTCCACAGCTTCTGCACAGCAAAAGAAACAGTCATTAGAGTGAATCGGCGACCAACAGAATGGGAAAATTTTTTTGCAATCTACCCATCTGACAAAGGGCTAATATCCAGAATCTAAAAATACCTAAAACAGATTTACAAGAAAAAAACAAACAAGCCCATTCAAAAGTGGGAAAAGGATATGAACAGACACTTCATACATGAGGCCAACAAACATGAAAAAATGCTCATCATCACTGGTCATCAGAGAGATGCAAATCAAAACCACATTGAGATACCATCTCATTCCAGTTAGAATGGTGATCGTTAAAAAATCTGGAGACAACAGATGCTGGAGAGGATGTGGAGAAACAGGAACACTTTTACACTGTTGGTGGGAATGTAAATTAGTTCAACCATTGTGGAAGACAGTGTGGTGATTCCTCAAGGCCTTAGAAATAGAAATTCCATTTGACCCAGCAATCCCATTACTGGGTATGTATCCAAAGGATTATAAATCGTTCTACTATAAGGACACATGCACACAAATGTTCATTGCAGCACTGTTTAAAATAGCAAAGACCGGCTGGGCGCAGTGGCTCAAGCCTGTAATCCCAGCACTTTGGGAGGCCATGGCAGGTGGATCATGAGGTCAAGAGATCGAGACCATCCTGGTCAACATGGTGAAACCCCATCTCTACTAAAAATACAAAACATTAGCTGGGCATGGTGGTGCTTGCCTGTAATCTCAGCTACTCAGGAGGCTGAGGAAGGAGAATTGCCTGAACCCAGGAGGCGGAGGTTGCGGTGAGCCGAGATCGCGCCATTGCACTCCAGTCTGGGTAACAAGAGTGAAACTCCGTCTCAAAAAAAAAAAAAAAAGAAAAATAGCAAAGACCTGGAACCAACCCAAATGCCCACTGATGATAGACTGGACAGGGAAAATGTGGCACATATAACCATGGAATACTATGCAGCCATAAACAACTATGAGTTCATGTCCTTTGTAGGGACACGGATGAACCTGGAAACCATCATTCTCAGCAAACTGACACAAGAACAAAAAATCAGACACTGCATGTTCTCACTCATAGGTGGGCGTTGAACAACAAGAACACATGGACATAGGGAGGGAAGCATCACACACTGGGGTCTGTCGGGAGGAAATAGGGGAGGGACAGCAGGGGATGGGGAGGAGGGGAGAGATAGCATGGGGAGAAATGCTAGATATAGGTGATGGGGAGGAAGGCAGCAAATCACGCTGCCATGTATGTACCTATGCAACAGTCTTACATGTTCTTCACATGTACCCCCAAACCTAAAATGCAATTAAAAATTTTTTATATAAAAATCTGAATTTCTGGCTTCTTTTGAGGTATTGAGAAATCTGGCCACACTGCTCACATGGAACAAAGATGGGTGGATGATGATGGCAGCAGTGGCCCATCTGGAGCAGGTGCTGTTGCAGGGAGGCACTGTTGGTGTGGCAGGCTCCATGGAGCCGGTGGGACCCGGGAGCAGGTGGGATCCCTGCCCTCCTGGATGCAGCTAAAGCCACCCAAGTAACAGTTGCAGACCTAGGCCTCCCATTCCACAGAGCAGGCAGGAGCCTGCCCCAGCCCTTGGCACAGCTGCAGCTGCCCAAACCATGACTGTGGACCCAGGCATCTCAGCCCAGCAACGGGGCCCAGCAAGGCCCCACCCTGTCCTCACAGGCTTGGAAATGCCTGCTCCCACTGCCTGGCTTCTCCCTGCTGTCAGCACCCACTTGAATTTTGGAGCAAAGTTGGGCTGAGTTCTAGTTCTGTCAGCCCAGTCAGGTGTACACATGCTCAGGGCAGTGCTGACATACCAGCACCATGCCACCTTGGCCCCTTCTGGGGTAGTGGGTCAATGAGCATGGGAGGGAAGGCAAGGGGGTGCTGAATGGCAGCAGGAGGCAGACAGGCTCATGGGTGGAAGGAGGCAGGTCCCTGGTGAGGCCTCGCCTTCAGGCTAAGGAGAGCCTGAAGGCTGGGGGCTGGACTGCCAGTCCCATGGACCAGAATGGGAACTTCTGGTGCCTTTTCTGGGCCCACCCATGGCTACTCATGGACCAACTGGCCTGTACTTTCTATTATGGGCCCCACTGAGGCCCATAATAGCCCCAGGCTCAGCCAGAGCTGAGCAGAGATGGGGATGACCAGCTGCAGAGAGGAGTTACCCACACCAGGGCCTCTTCTCTGCTGAGAGCTGCAGAGATGATGGGATGATCATCTCTGCAGAGAGGAGCTTTGCACTCCAGGGTCTCCTCTCTGCTAGGAGCTGAACACTTACCAGGTCAGTTTGGCTCTGGAAAGAAGCTTCCCCATGTGGGAGAGAGAGTTGTTCTACTGCTCAATAAAGCTCCTCTTCATCTTACCCTGTACATGTTGCATACCTCATCTTCCTTGTCACAGTACAAGAGCCTGTCGAATGGCAGAGCTAAAAGAGCTATAATACAAACAGGGCTGAAACATGCCCCTTGCTCACCACACTGCGGGTGAAGAGAACGAGAGAAGAGCTGTGGTCCTTTGGGGATCCCAGACCTGGGAGCTTCCTGAGCCAGGCTATGACTCCCTTTTTGGGGCCCTGCAGTTCCTGGCATCTCCAAGTTTCTGAGTGCCACTGTGTTCCCCAGTGTCAGCGTGGAAGCTGCTTGTGGTGTACCTGGTCTGGCTGCAGCCTCACAGAGAGCCAGCGCTTGTGCCAGCACCTGGAGCTGCCCTCCCCGCTACAGCAGCTGGCATGTCTGACTGTGGGCAGTGGCCCGGCCCCATGCTTACTGTCACACCACTTGCCGTTCCACACCTGACTTACCCTTGGCAGGTGTGGGGCGCAGACCGGTAGCATGAGCTGAGCACAGGCTGCTAGGCTGAGTGGGCAGCAAAAGCCCAGTGGGCCCCAGCAAAACTCAGGCAAAGGCACCCCTGGCCACAGAGGTTTCTGGCCAGAAAATAACACCCCAAACATCTTGCGATGACGCACAGTAGAAGCGGGCATTAGAGAGGGTATGTGCTTTCCAGTTTGCCTTGGTGTCTGCCTTGCCTGTCATGTTTCCCTTGTTCTGCTTCTTTACTGATGCTTTGTTCTGCAGGCACTTATGTTTCCAACTAGTCTTGGAAGAATCTACTGAATTTACTGAGAAGTTCCTTGCTGCTAATGACGGTAGTGGCTGCTGCCATCACTCTGGCTGCAGCAAGGAAGTGCAGCTGGGACCGCATACTCCCTGGAGCTGGTGAGAGCCTGCCCCTTCTGAGTTGGGATGGGAGCTCCACGGGTATCACTGAAGCTGCTCAAACCACAGCTGCAGACCCAGGCCTCTTGCTCTATGGAGCAGGCAGGAGTCCCACCCTCCTGGACGGGGCTACAGCCTCCCAAACTGCAGCTGTGGATCTGAGCCTCCCTGTGCTCTTGGGGGAGG